GGGTTTCTCCCCATCTCTGTCCTTTCGAGCCCTGAACCTTCACTGAGCCCCAGTTCAAAACTCAGCACCTCCTTATAGCATCCCCTGGCTAGTTAGATGTGCTTGATCTTGCTCCTGAATGCTTTTAAGCCTTGGTTTGTCCCTTCTTTGTGCCTCTTCCTACAACATGCTTAGATAGCACAGCCCACAAGGCCAGGAGTCTGCTCTGGCCTCCATTGAACACAGTGCCCCATGCACAGTGGACTAAGTAAGCATTGAAAAAATGGAAGAGCCCTGGCTTTTGTAGCTCAGTGGATTGAGCACCAGCCTGCAAACCAAAGGGTCGCTGGTTTGATCCCCAGTCAAGTCTCATGCCTGGGTTGCAGGCCAGTTCCCAGCAGGGGTTGCATGAGAGGCAACCACACACTGATGTTTCTCTCCCTCTCTCTCTCTTCCTCCTCTGTCTAAAAATAAATAAATACATGATCTTTTTCTTTTTTCAAAAAAGAAAAGAAATACTGGAAGAAAGGCATTTTCTACACATAGCCACATGGAGCATTAGCTTTTTTTTTTTTAGCATGATTATGACTGAGATCTCATGACATTTTTCTGAGATTGAAGAGCCCAGGTCTGAAAGTCACCTACCATCCAATTGTACATGAGGCTCTGTGTGCCTCTGTGCCTCCTTTTCATCATCTGTGAGGAAGTTTTCTAGCTTGTCAAACATTTCAGCAGGAAAAGAGACCAAGTGGATTTAGAGAGAATCCACATCACAGTTTAGAAAACAAATCAAAATCATGACAACGGAAGAGCTGCTGAGGGAATCAGGCACGCTTACCCTGAGAGAGAAGAGCTAGGGAAGACTCAAAGACATTGAATGCTAAAGCTGGAAAGAAACTTAGAGAAGATTGAAGGATTTCCTTTACTATGTAGGAAGAGGGACGAGGTGACCTCTGAGGCTCCAGTGTTCTGCAAAGCTCTGTTCCCACTTGCAGTTCTGATTGACAGAAAAGGAAACTCGTGTTAATTCATCTTTCATGTTCTCAACTAAGAATGATCTTATAGTTTGGAATTTTAAATAAAAATATCATACTGCTACGTCTTTGCAGAATCAAAGTGTAAAAAGCATTGTCAATTCTGTTGCTCAGTATTTCTCATTCACAAATTCGTCAGATAAATCCAGGCACACTTGGGTACCACTTTTTAGTGGCAAATTGCCTTTTTTGCCTTGTTTCACAGGGAACTTCAAGCCACACTTGTTCCTCAACTGAAGCAAACGGTGCAAACCAGGGGCTTGGAATATCGATTTCCCCACATTTTAAAAGGTGCCTAGGAGAGCACCTGGTCATATTAGATGCTCATAAATATCTGTTTAATTAATGAAGACCCTGAAGAATAGAATACTGTATCACTCAACAGTGTGGTGACTGCCAGGGGAGGGAGGTGGGAGGAGGTGGAGGAGGGTATGGGAGGATAAATGGTGATGGATGGACACTTGGGGCAGTGAACACACAGTACAGTGTACAGATGATGCATTACAGCAGGGGTGTCAAAGTCATTTTCACCGGGATGACATCAGCCTCGTGGCTGCCTTCAAAGGACCAAATGTAACTTTAGGACTGTGTAAATGTAACTACCCCTTAACAGTTAACCGAGAGCTTGGTGCTGCTGCCGGGTAGAAACAAGGTGCTGGGCTGGATAAAACAAGATAGAGGACCAGATTTTGCCCGCAGACCTTGTGTTTGCCACCTGTGCATTATAGAATTGCAAACACGAAACCTACATAATCTTATTAACCAATGTCACCTCAATAAATTCAATGCAAAATAAAAGGATATTTAAAAAATATTTTATAATGGGCTATTATTTCAATTTAACCTTTATTGAAATTAATGCATAGAAGAGTTTAAAATCTCAAGATTATAATAGCATATACACAAGTATTAATCCCTTCCCTATTCTCCCGTTTTCTTGCTAACACAAAGGTAACGGCTTTCAGATATTTTTGCTGCAACAGAAAGAAATAGTAAATCACAATAGCCGTTTATGTGTTAAATAATGGAACTACAAAATAATAAGGACATAGAAATTCAATAAAATAAAATTTAGGCATTTCTTTTCACTAGGAAAGAAATACAAAAAGCTTATAGGAAAGGAAAGGCAGTCATCTATCGACATGATTTATATAATAATATAAAATTAAGTATTCTTTCACCAAATAATGTGATACAACTAAAGTGGGAATGCCAGGGACAAAGGGTGGGTGAGTGTTATACAAAACCCATGTACAATGTCTAAAATGTAAAACAAAAAATATAATATCAAGGAATAGCAAGAAGAAATAGTTATTTAGAAATGTGTTAGAAAAGAAAAACAGCTACCAAATTGGAAAGCAGTTTCTTTTTAAGTTTTCTTACATTTTTTGAAAATATTTATTTATTTATTTATCTTTAGAGAGGAAAGAGAGAGGGAGAGAAACATCAATGTATGGTTGCCTTTCGTGTGTCCCCTGCTGGGAATTGGCCTGCAGGGAACTGGTCTGCAACCCAGGCATGTTCCCTGACTGGGAATTGAACCACGATCCTTTGGTTTGCAGGCCTGTGCTCAATCCACTGAGCTACACCAGCCAGGGCTTTCTTACATTTTTTGAAAGTTGGAAAAGGAACATACACACCTGTGGTTAAAAAGCAAATCAAACAGCATCATTCACCATGGCATTCTTGTTGACGTGGATCAGCACTGATTTTTTTTTTTTTTTTTTTTTACTTAGCTCACATTGTTTTCATGTTGTGAGGTAGCTACAATTCATCCTGGACATCAACTTGCATATTAGTTTTCATAGGAATTGCATTCCTAACATCTAGAAAATATGTGTTCATGAACTTTATGTTATAAAGGTCAAAGGTCAGGTGTGGTTCTGCAAGGTGCTAAGATATACAGGGATCCAGCCGAAGTAAGGCCTGCATGAGTGTGGTTGGTAGGGTAATAATAGGGGTGTAATAATTTAACTGAGATATTTCACCTAAAATGTCACATGGTGTGTTTGAGTGTGGTATTGCTGTGTTACTGAATGACATGCTTAAGATTTTGTAATGAAAGATTTTGTCATAAAAAGGGGGCGTTATTTGTGCCGCACCCCGTCTATCAGAGTGTTCTTGTTGTGCTTTAAATTTGTAACCAGTAAAGTCTCCCTTCTAATCTCCTACGACCTCATCCCAATGTCTCCCAGTCATTTCCACATCTTCCTTCTGTCCCTGCCCGTACTAACTTGTGCTTCATCCAGGTTCTGTTCTTTTTCTCACGATATTTTGTTTGAACCTTTGAAGCCCATGATGGCATTTAGTGTTTCTCATTGTCACTTAGAATAAGTGGTTCACCAGGCTCCTCTTGGTGGGAACAACGAACAGAATGCCTTCCTTGTTTCCAGGAATGCAGCCTCAAGTGCAGTGCAAACCCATCCATGTTTCATTGTGTCACACGGACCTCAAAACCTGGCCTTTCTCCTCCTTGCCTTGAGTGCGCTTGAGTATGCTTTCTCCTCCTATCCTCACCTTGACAAAGGAGATGAAGGGCTGTTTTCAGTTTGGGTATTTTCATTTTTGAATAAACTCACACTGATTTCTTAAGGCTCTGGTTTCAAGAAGATTGAAAAGTCAATGGGTGTTTCACTCTGTACAATTTTGCTATATATTTTTAAGTCTTATCTGGGCCTGCGCAGGGGGAAATAGATTGTTTTTCTTGGCAGCTTCCAGCTGAGCCCCAGAGCACCACCATATTGAAGGTAGATGTCTTGGACTAGTTCTGGGAAATCTGCTGGGCAAAGGTGTTCTTGGGAACGCAAAGACAACAGAGCCTGGGCTGCAAGTAGAAAAACACAAACTTCTCACTGAGCTCACCCCTTCGTGGAGACTGCCTGTGAGGAGAGATCTAGTGGGTAAGAAAAGGAGATACTCTCATGCGGCTGAGTGCATCCCCTGAGCAGGAGCTCACGTTTAAAGACCCCACATCAGAGCTGAAGTCATCAGCACATCATGAAAAATGGAGCTTGTAGCTTCACTTTAAATTTGCCTTCAAATTTAAGCAGGGGAGGGGGTGTACTGGGACACCCCCTCCCCTACTGTCCCCGTACATGTGAGATCGGATTCATGTTCCCAAGTCTTTACTGACGTATCGCTTCTCTACTCTCAGTTCTTCAGGGGCCTTCCCAGATTTGTCCAGGACCTTTATTTCCAACCTCATGTCCTGTGACTCCTGCTGCAACCAAGCTGATCACCCTTTTCTGAAGGCTGCATGGTACACCTCCCTCCCCACCTTGTCCCATCATCCTCTTGGGCTCTGTCCTCTACATGCCTGGTCACAGGACCCAGGTTCTGTCCCATGTGAGTTAGCTGTGTGACAATGCATCAAATGGTTCTTCCTCTCTGAGCGTCTGTTTCCATGTATGTATATACAAGACAGAGCGACAGACTGAACTAGGAGACTTCTTCATAGGATCTCTTTCAACGATATCATCATGTGGGTCAAATTCAGCCTTAGCTTTGTCCTTGGCTGGCCCAGGACACAGGGCCCTGTCTCTTTGATGTCTCTACAACATTGAATATGATGCTAGACCACTCATTGTTTGAGATTGTAGTTAACATTTTTTATGTCCTGTCTTCAACTGCTTTGTAGAGGATATGTTTGTACACTGAGAAAGCCTCTTGGTAGAGCTAATTTCTTTGCCTAGGATGTGGATGAGGGGGAGGACTGTTGAGCGCATTCTACTGCTCAGAAGCTGGGAAGAGATGGGAGTCGAGTAAGCTTTTCCCTTGCACCCCTGGATGGGAGAATGAAATGTCTGTTTGCAAACAGGGCGTGTACTCGCATCGCCACTGACAGGAGAAAATTCCCCTTGGGCTGCTGGAAAGCCACTGCGCCTGCACTGACTCCTGGGTTGGCCTTCCAGTGCCATCTATTCAGCATGCCTGTCTCCTGCCATTTAGGGTTGGGACCATCCCTTCATCTGTCACTGTGCGTTTCAGGGCCCTGTTTGATTATGACCGGACTCGGGACAGCTGCCTGCCAAGCCAGGGGCTCAGCTTCTCCTATGGCGACATTCTACATGTCATTAATGCCTCTGATGATGAGTGGTGGCAGGCAAGACTGGTGACCCCACATGGAGAAAGCGAGCAAATCGGTGTGATCCCCAGTAAGAAGAGGTGAGTTGCTGTGATCACAAGAGAGGCCTTCCTTACCCTCTCCTTGGTACTGATTTCTTTTGTTCTTTTCCTTTCCTTTCTTTTTTCTTTTCTTTTTTTGTACCAATTCTCCTGTAAAGTTGCTAGAGAGCAGGAGATATGCTTTATTGTTCCATTTTGGTGGAGAGTTGGGGCTCAGGACATGGTTATGACTCAATGGCCCAAAGGGGGCTGCTGTGCCCGCTGCAACCCACTGCTGAGACTGCGCACTGGCAGTAATAGGACTCGTTTCTGACCCCAACACAGGGTGGAAAAGAAGGAAAGAGCTCGATTGAAAACCGTGAAGTTCCATGCCAGGACGGGGATGATTGAGTCGAACAGGGTAAGTGGGGATTCCCCAAGGAAGTCAACCAGTCTGTGAAGAGGAGTCAGAAGCTCAGAGTCTGTCTGGTGGATAAGAACTGGGGACCACCAAAGAATCCCTCTCTCTCTCTCAGGGGCTGGCTCTGGCCGGTCAGCACGCTGGCTGCCTTTCTGAGAGCAGAGACAGGGCACTGAGCCTCTCTGACCAGTCGGTCCTCCTCCCCTCTGGGTAAACTGGCCGTTGAAGATGTGGTGGAGTTGGACTGTCTGCAAGGCTGACTGGCTCTGGGTACATGAAACTACAGTGGAACCACAGTGGGTGTCTCCCTGGCCGCAGACTCTGTTGGAGCTATAGGGACCCTGAACTGAATCGGGCCTTGCCTTCCAGCCGGGGATGTAAGCCCCAGAGCTCGGACTGGCTGCCCTTCAGACCAAACAAGGCATGAGGTCTCTTGCCATTCACCCCTGTTCTTCCGTGAGCTTCGCAGGCTGAAGAAGTTCTCCGGTGCAGTAGAGGAAAGAGAGACACGGAGTAGGTGACTCTGTGTCAATCAGTGGCACCTTAGGGCATGTGTCCAGGACGCTACAGTGACCCTTGTGCTTTAGGAAGTACCAGTGAGTGCTGTGAGTCCACATTAGGTAGAACCCTCTAACATCCCCATGACATTTTCCTGTAAACATAATTTTCCTCTCACATCAACTTTCATTTAATCTCATAGACTCCATTTGTGAAAAATGGTCTTTTATTTAGCTCACCATTGTCTCCATTTTAGTTTTTCTTGCATGCTTTAAAATCCATTGTTCTGTTTTTTTTCTTCTGTCCTTCCCCTCCATCTTCATGTTCTTTCACAGTCGATCAAAACGAAACGTAAAAAGAGTTTCCGCCTCTCTCGAAAGTTTCCATTTTACAAGAGCAAAGAAAACATGGCCCAGGAGAGCAGCATACAGGAACGTAAGTAGCAGCAGGGCACAGAGAACAGACGGCGCACAGCCCCGCCCTCTTCCTCATCGGCACCTCCCCTCAGGAGATGACTGGGCAAGTGTGCGTGTGCTGGTGCATCCCTGTGTGCATGCGCGTGAGCGTCCTTGCCTGTTGGAAGATTCAGGGTAGAAATGGGTCTGCACAGGGAGACTCCGGGCTTTTTGGCCAGCTCCTCACTCTGAAAGGACATCGGAGGCTCCCTCCGAGTGGAACTGGTTCCTGGGCCAGCCCACCAGTTGTTGGCGCTGGTGTTGGGAGTACCAGGCTGAGCTCTGCTGTGCTGGTGACTAGTAGTTCTCGGCCTCGGTGCCAAGGTTCGGAAAACTGGATTTGGAGGAGAACCAGGCCTAGGGACTCAGGGTTGCTCTCCTGGCTTCCTCCTCTTGTATTTTCTTTCCCTTAACTTCACTCATCTGTGTCAAGAGAAAAAGCCTTTTCTTCACTGGATGCCTACTTCTCAAATCACATGCACGTGCCTCTGCACACAGAATGTGCACATGGCTCTCATAGATCCCCTGTTGTCCCACTTTGAGGATAAAAATCCTTCCTCCTGATGGACTTGACATGGAATGGGGATTGCTCAGCATTGTCCAAATAAAGATACACTGAGAAACATGAAGCTGCTTTGGCAGTAGAGGCCATATTGCCGTGCTGAGTGAGCTTTCTATGCACCAGTTCAGTCCTGGGAAGTACTCACATGCCTCTGAAGTTTATCACTCTGACCTAACCTTAAACACCAGGTCAGGCTGGTGAAATAGTTCTCACATGGCTCATGGTGAATGTAAACCTATCTTCTGCCTCACAAGGAGGGGTCTCGGGGTCCTGGGCTATTGGGACTGGCTGGACACTGGCTAGTTCTGATAGGGAATGTCCTTTTTCCAGGCCAGTCTGAATCATGGGCATGGTATGTGTAGGTCATTGCCATCTGGGGTGCTCGCTAGTGGACACAAGAATGCCCTCTTTCCAGATGCAGTTATGACTCACCATCCTGGGCAGCGCAGTCAGAAGCACTAGGCATAGCTGGTTCTGCTCATGAGCAGTAGGAGCCAGTCACCACAATTCACCAAATGAGTCCCAGAACCTCTGCGCTGAGCCTGGAAGGGTGCGCTGCCAGGTGGCACAGCTGGCGGGGGTAGGTTTGCCTATTGGGCGTGAGCGGAGGCTGCCCTAGTGCTTATCCTCTGGAAGCTGAGCTTGTCCCCTGTGGTCCACACAAGTCAGTCAGCCGTGAAGGCCCCGCCTTAGACTGCATGAAGCTTCCCCCGAAGGCTTTGGGCAGAGCAGAGCAGTGTTGGGGGAAAGCTCCTCGGGGTGTCGACAATTCTGCCCGCTTCCCCGCCTCACATGGATGGGGGTTTGTCCTTCCATGCACCCACAGAGGGAAATGGTGATTTCAGGGCCAAAGCACAGACCTGCGCTCTGTAACTATAAATTCAGTCAAAGCATGCGCTCCACGCCTTGGGAAGTTACCTGCCCTGTTGACCTGTAGGCTGTACACCACCTCAGAAAGGCTGTTCACTCAAGGCCCTCTGGAAGCTAGTTGGGCCACATGAATCCATGTATCTGACCTGGGACGTTCTTTCTGTAACGAAGTTCTTAACCTCACTGTAGCTGTAGGTCTTCGTAGTATTTCATACTTCTGTCACTAATGCTCACCTGGCTCTGTATTCTTCCTTCCCCTGTCTTTTTTCTCTCTTTTCTCTGTTGTCCCCAATTCCCTCCCTCCCTCTCCCTCCCTCCCCCTCCCTCCCTCCCTCTTTCCCTCCCTCCCCCTTTCCTTCTTTGTCCTTGCTGTCTGTGAAATCAGGACTTCCCTGGGTTAAGTGACGATTATTATGGAGCAAAGAACCTGAGTAAGTCAAACTCACACACCATTAACTGGGTTTTTGGCATGAGTGGAAGTGCTGGGGTTGGGGGTGTAGGGGGCATGGATAAGGGCAAACGGGGAGGGGAGGGCCATGTTTGTGGGAACTCTTAATACCACAGCAGGAGGAAGTACAAGTGGCTACAAATGTCATACTTTGGCTCTGGATCCCTGGTAATCTAATAAAAGCCTCTCATTGAGTCTGTGTTTTCCTTTTGTATTCTGACATGGTGGCTGGCCTGCCACCTGGCATCCTGCCTTATAAGCAAGGTGGGCAGAAAGTACTCCTCCAGGGTGACCACTCAACTCATCTCTAGTCTATTATTGAGGTGAGGGGTGCCCGCTGGTTAGAGTCTTCCCCCAGCGACCCAACCCTCAAGAATTGGGCTTCAGAATGACCTCTTTCAGTCTCAAGCTAAGGGCAGGAGACTGGGCAGCCCTTTACCCAGCATGCATCTGAGGTTTCCCAGCAGGTCCAGGGACCTCAGCAGACAAACACAGGCTAGTTTTCCACAGAGCACCTTGAAGGGGCTATGCTTCATTTGCAAACCATATCTATATAGGGCAGCATTTGCAAACCATATCTATATAGGGCTTTAGCTTGGGAAACCCAGGCTGACCTTTCCTCTCTGACAATTGCCCCAGAGTGCAAAGTGACCGGGCATAGATGACTTGGCCTTAGCGTCCCCTCTACACAGGCACACACATGTGGCCGTGCTGGGAAGCTTCTGTCTGCCCATGTTCTCCTTCAATAAGTACTAAAGGCATGAAGGTGAAGCCACTTCCTCCAGGGGGTTGCTCAGGAACCAGCCATGGGTGGTTAACTCAGCCAGTTCTTCCTGAGGGGCCACAGCATATCACGGTCTGCAACGGTGTCATCTTGGCTGAAACGAGCAGTGTCTTTCCATAGTCTGTTGTGTCCATGTTTCATCTTCATTCGCCTATTGCGTGGGGAGTGCTGGGTTCTGTTTGGGCCACACGGTGCCTGGTGCCACCAGCCGGTGTGGCTGCTCCGCCCACGACCAGGTGTGGGCTTTCCTGTCCTCCCAAGTGCTGTTTGTTGTCTGTGCTGTGACACGTCAGTGTTCTGGTAGATGGGGGGGCCACCCCCCTCACCGCTGAGGCCACATGGTCCTTCTAGGTAGTAGAGGCAGGAGGACCATGGGTCCCACCATTGTTGCGTGGTGCCTGCTCAGCCTAGGCAGTGCTTAGCCTCATAGTTGCGGAGCATCCTGCAATTCTGTACTTCAGGGCCTCTGTCTGGGAGGGAAATTCAAGAGCAGCCTGGTCCCTGCACTTTTCTTTGCTACTGTCTCTGCCTTGCCTTTCCTACTGGTAGCCTTGGGAGATGCATTTTGACAGAGGATTTGGAAGCCATCCAGTGTCAGTTTGGATTCAGATGAAGAGGAAACTTCCCAAGAGTGGGAGGCTTGTAGCATATAGGGAGGGACTTGGCGGACCAAGAGGGCGCTGGGGACTAGGACGAAGTAGCCAGTGGCTCAAGAGTAGAGCTGTGCCTCCTGCTTGGTGGCCTGGATGTGGCAGGTCTCCTGTGGCCTAATGTGGTGGACAGCTCAGTGTCTCACTCCTGGAGCTTCTTGAGTTTTGTGCCGCGTGTGACCTCTCAGTGGTGTGTTCTGAATCGGAGTTTCTTTCTTGTTGGCTTGCAGAGGGAGTGACATCCAACACCAGTGACAGCGAAAGCAGTTCCAGTAAGTGTGTGTCATTCTCCCCCATGTCATGTCGCTCCACCATGTGTCCCAGCCACCCTCATTCCAGCGTTGCATGGCTGCCATCTCTATGCGGAGGCTGGTGCTTCTTTCAGCCATGCACATGTTCAGAGCCTGGACATGCTGTGGCCATGGCCCTTCTGGGACGGGTCTTAGGCCATGGATTAAAGGAGAGTAGAAGCCCTGCAGTCCTTGCTGGAACTCAACTTATAAGCCTCCCAGGGGCCCCAGACAGGGTGAGCTGCCAGCAAATAAAGCCCTACCATGGGCATCATGGGCTGTAGGTGCTGCCAGTTCCACAGATCTCCTCAAAGACCACGTGAAAAATGGCTCCTGTGGATATTGTCCTGAATTGCTTTGCCAGGTCACCATGACCTCGTGGATTAAGGCTTGGTATCCTGAACTTTTAGCTGGGTTGAACAATCAGGTAACTGCCCCGCTTTCCTTCAGAGATCCCTTCACAGAGCCAGAGAAGCCACAGTGCAAATCCCATGAACTCTGGGGACACTGGCCTCGTTAAGTCTGCCAGAAGGTCTTCTGCTCAGTGGAAGCCTGTGAGCAGGCTTCTCTGGCACTTCTGTCCCCCGCTTTGGGACCTCCAGGCACCCAGCACCAAGTGGCTTGGCAACTGTTTTAGGAAAAGCCCATCATTGCTAGGGTACATGGAGCTCTACCAGAAGAAGGGAGCAGACCCATGCATTGGCTTTCAATGGCACCAGGGGACCTTAGTCCAGCTTGGCGCCACTTTTCTGGATGTTCCTTCCAGTGAAAAAGGGATGGGAAGACCATTTAAAGTCCAACATGAGGCTGCAGCTCTAGGGACCTGCGGGTGCATCCTGACTCCCCTGCCTGCAGACGAGGGGACACAGATATTGTTATCCCAACCACTTGAAGCTTCCCCTTGCTTCTCACCAGAGTGCCAGGGCAACGGAGCACAGCTGAGTGTTCCCAATGAGAACAGTTCCTGAAAAATTGGGATGCTTTCTGGGGCAGGCTTCGTAATTTCTGGGTCACGCCCCTTTGCTCAGCTGTATTTCGCCAAATGAGAGTGGTTCTGGCTCCAGTGCCAGGGCGCTGAGGGCTCCCTGTGCTGTTTGGCCATTAGGAAGTGGGCAGGTCCACGAGGCAGGTGTGAGCAGGCACCACCTGCCTAGGTGGTTCCTGGCACAGGTGGGACTGAGGTGAATGTTGGAAGACGAGGACACAGGCAGATTAGGAAATGCTAACATGTCTCCATTTTCTTGTTGCAGAAGGACAAGAGGATGCTATTTTGTCATATGAGCCAGTGACTCGACAAGAAAGTAAGCCCTTTTCTGAGAGTCTTGCTTTCCAGCCAATGTTGCCGTCATGGGGCTGAACACAGGGGTGGCTATGGTGGTGCAGAGAACTCGGGGGAGCAGAAGTGGGGTGTGCATCCCCCTCCCTGGGTGCCTCGTCCTCCTCCCCTTCTTCCTAGTGTTAGAGATGGGGCAGCCTCTTGCCGTGCACCCCCTGTCCTGCCTGTGCTCGCTGCCAGGGCACCTTCCAAAGGAGAGGGCAGATTTACAAAGATGGCAAATGGCAATTTCAGTATCTGTGGCCACTGCTGAAAGGGAGATGCTGGTCACCGGTCTTTCATGGCTGCTCTGAAAGAACCTTGCTCTGCTGCTGGTGCCCATGCAGAGATTTCTCCTGAGTCTTCTAGAAGGGGAGATGCTTCAGGTTTCAGATTTGCCTCCGGCTTAGATATTCTCAACGGAAAGGCTCTTTGATGCCTCTATAGTTAAAAGCCTGAGAATGGCTGGCGACACCCCACCCTGTCTGACTGGTGGTTCTGAGCCTTGACAGACTTGTGGGTGGAACCAGCCAGCCGCTGAGGGCCTCACTCGCGTCTCCGTATGCTCTCCCCGCAGTTCACTATGCAAGGCCTGTGATCATCCTGGGCCCGATGAAGGACAGAGTCAACGATGACCTGATCTCAGAGTTCCCACATAAATTTGGATCTTGTGTGCCACGTAAGAGCCCAGGAAGGCTTGGGGTGTGGGGTGTTGGTGCCCAGGGATTCGTCACTCTGGTGTGTTCACGGACAGGGTGTGGGGCCTCGTGGCAGGGTGCTGGGGGAACAGGGTGCATCTCACACCCTCAGAGACATGAGGCCGCACTCAGTTCCCCTGAAGGTGACAGGGTTGGGAGGGCTGAGACATCAGAGCAGCCTGCTCACTCCCTTGGAGACGTTTGAGCGCCGAAGGTCAGGAGTGACGATGGGACACATGGGGGGCCCACCCACATGGTGTTGGCGTGGCTTGCTGGGTGGCCCATTACATTCACCTTGGTCTGAGAACCCCCACTTCAGTGGTCCACTTGGAGCTAAACCCAGTAGCCCTACCCTGTGGGTGACACTTGAGGTGAGAGGACGAGTAGGCGACATGGACTTCTTCCCAGCTGCTCTTTCCCCACTCATCTCACCATGGGCATGGCCTGGCACCCAGATGACAGAGGAGCAAGTGATGCTCTTTGGGCCCGGGGCAGGTCACTGCCTTTGGGCCACACACACAGCGGTTTCCTTTCTTCCTTCAGACACCACCCGGCCTCGGCGTGACAATGAGGTGGATGGACAGGACTACCACTTCGTGGTGTCCCGAGAGCAAATGGAGAAGGACATTCAGGACAACAAGTTCATCGAGGCAGGCCAGTTCAATGACAATCTCTACGGGACCAGCATCCAGTCTGTGCGGGCAGTTGCAGAGAGGGTAAGGACGGCAGGTGGCCCTGCTCAGCACAGACTGCTCACAGGGGCCACAGAACTGCCCCTGCCCGGGTGGTGCTGTGCCCTCGGTGCTCCTGGCATGGGGCCTGCAGAAGGGCACTGCTGAGCAGTGCCGAGCCACCCTGTGGCTGTCCAGTGCCTGCGTGGACGTGTTTCCCTGTCCGCTCCACGCCCTTTTATGCAGAGGGTCACTCCCCTTAACAGGGACTTCTCTGCAGACCTGGCTTTTTCTGGGTACTAGGAACAAAATGTAGAGCCTGGGTACCTCTACGGCAGAATCTTCCAGGCTTCTCTGGGTTCTCCTTAGGGGCATGTTGGGGTTGCCACTGGGCGAGTACTTGAGGTGGGCTGATGCAGGTTGTTGCTTTTCCAGGGCAAGCACTGCATCTTAGACGTTTCGGGCAATGCAATCAAGAGGCTGCAGCAATCACAGCTCTACCCCATTGCTGTTTTCATCAAGCCCAAGTCCATCGAAGCACTTATGTAAGTTTTTGCTGAGGCTCAGACACCACAAGCTGGGAGAGGGCCCTGGACAGGAAGCAGAAACCGGAGGGAGGGTCGGGAGCCAGCTCTGGCGCCTGAGGGCTCCTGCTCTGAGTGCCCCTACTTGTGGTATGCTCCTGGGTGAGCTTTCGCACCTAGAAGGTTTGAGAGAGGTCAATGCTAAGGTCAATAGAAAGGTCCATGCTAAAGGACCATGCTACTCTCAGAGGCCAGCGGAGCCGATGGCCATGGAGCCTGGAGTAATTCTTCATCTTCCCCAGACCCACAGTCTCATTTGGTGCTATTCTCTTCTGTCTTTGGCAGGGAAATGAACCGACGGCAGACATACGAACAAGCAAATAAGATCTATGACAAAGCCGTGAAACTGGAGCAGGAATTCGGAGAGTACTTCACAGGTAAGGGCCCCAGCCACATGGTGTGGGCCCATGGGACCAGCCAGTGCCTGTTGTTGCAGGGGCCCCCTGAGGTGTAGACACCCCACAGAGTTACCAGGTGCTTTGGAGCTCATGCCTTTCCAAAGCCCCCACGTGGCCTGCAGCGTCCCAGAGCCCTTTAGCCAGGTTATAGTACCAGCTGCCATCACCAAACCCTGCTTACACCGCTTTGTTCTTTCTGTCTTCGTGCGCCCACTACTGTGCAGGCCTCCTGCCTTCCATCATCCCCCCCCCACCACCACATCTAGGACTCATCCGGGCACGTGTTAGGTGCTGAATAAATATGTGTTGCCAAAGACGATTACTCGATGTGGTGTTCAGCTTGTCCGTCAGCGTATGTGTGTGCATGTGACCACAGAGGTCAGTTCCTCAGGGCCTGGCAAGGTGACAGACACATGTAGGCTGGTGTAGAGTAGAGCCTAGCTGGCTTGCTCCTAGGTTAAGTGGGACAGAATCCATAAGTGTCAGCTCAGTCCTTGGGTTTCGGAGCCTCCTTTCCTGTGAGCATGTGTGTCCTTGTGTGCCGGGCTGACCTCTGAGAGAGAGCAGATGTGGCGGCCCCAGGAGCACCACTTCTTGCCAGAAACTGTGGCTTCCAGCTCTTTCTCTGGATAACCGGGATTTCCCCAGCCTCCTTGTCACAGCTGCGAGCTGTGGCATCTAATGGGCACTCAGTCAAAGTCTTAGGAGCAACACATTTCCCTATGCGCTGCTACTTAGTCTCACTTTCTCCTCACATTGACCTCAAGCCCTGGGCTTGGAGCGCCTGCCAGTGCCCCTTGCTGCCCTAGGCTCACAGAGTGTGGCCCAGGGACACCATCCACCACCACCATGTGGGCGCTGTGGGCAGGACAGGACAGGCTGCTGGGGGTTGGTGGGCGCTGGGTACCACGGTAATCATTCTGTTTTTCTCTTCCCTTTAGCCATTGTACAGGGTGACTCACTGGAAGAGATTTATAACAAAATCAAACAAATCATTGAGGACCAGTCTGGGCACTACATTTGGGTCCCATCCCCTGAAAAACTCTGAAGAAGCCCCTCCGCCCTTCCTCTTGTGAACAGAAGAAATCAAGCCCCTGTACCCTCCTCCCTCTTCATTCCTGTCCCCACGGGGAGAACAAGTGACTACTGTTCTTACCCCCTTTTTTTAGATATGTCAAAAAAAATTGAGTTTTCTAGTCCTGTTCTGTTTTTTTAAATTTTCGTTTTGTTTGAGTTTCTCTGGGGGGGATGATGCCATCTCACTCATCATGTGACTGTGCCCACTCCTGCATGGACCTTTCCCAAGCACTAGCACAGGTGCAAATCCATCAGAGTCATTGTTTCCATAACAGTCGAGCAGAAGCGAAGAGAAGAGAGGAGGACTGATGGACAGACAGACTCTGGACAGCTGCACAGCTTTGAAGGGAGCTCAGCGTAGCCCGAGACCAGGCACTCCGGGCACCTCCGCCGACCTGTTCTGCTGTCATGCAGCTCTGAACGGTGCGACGCCATGGCGACAGAAAGTATCTTATTTATATACAGATATATATATGTAATTTATCTAAAATATATAGAAATTATTATATATATATATTATACACTCTCATATAATATATATATATATATCTCTCACACACCTTTGGACTAGAAAAATCTATGGAGACTTCATCAATGGTACTGTGTTATTAGAGAAATGCTTTAATTTTCATATTCCAATCAGATGGCATCTTATATCCCAACTGGTTGGGGAGGGATCGAAAGTGGTAGTAAGTGCTGTACCAAGGGCACGTGCACTTGGTCATTCTCTTGACAGCCGGGGTTTTCCCTGGAGGGGGCCGGCCGGGGGCCTGCAAGAAGGGGCTTTGGCCAGGGGCGGGGGGTGGGGGGCGCTGCATACCTGACCCTGAAGCAGCTGCTGCCGCTGCGGCACAGCCAGTGCTGTGAATGGAGAGAGAGAATGGCTAACGATGCTCCATATTAAATTGCCTATTGTTTTATGCCACCTGATGTGTCTGCATGAGAGATTTCCTTTTTGTTCATTTTTAAGCTGCTGTTAAACCAAAACCATGTTGTGCTACTGTGTCAGCCTTTTCATTATTCCCAGTTTTACTTTTACTATTTAACTGAATGCATAGAAGCCGGTTTGACAGTGTCCAAGAGGCTTGTGACGTTGTGGAGTTGCCAAGGCCTTGTGATCCAGTAGGTGACCCAGTCCGGGCGGGCAGCAGCACCGGAGGTGGGGGAGCTGGTGAGCAGCGAATGCATGACCCAGGGCTCCATATCGCACTGTGGCCCTTTACCCACCTGTCTGGGCCATGCTAGACTCAGCTGAGGCCCTTTCATGGGGCCCACAGACTGGGGTAGGGAGTCACTTGCTTTCCAGTTGTGTGCTAGGACAGCGGCACAGCGCTGCGCTCAGCCAGCCCTCTAACGAGGAGTTTGATTTGGTTTTCTGTGCAGCCGCTTCCGTAGGCCCTACCCCAGTGGCCCCCTCAACAACCGCTGGTAGCTTACAGTTTCTTCCAGGAGGACACAGACTCCCATGCCCTTTGTCTGAGCGGTGAAGTTACGACTTCCTCACTGGTGACATGCGAAAGCTCGTTCCTCTTTCCCACAATGACGTGGCTCTGATTGTAATCAAGGGAGTTTCGCTTTGACCACAAATGCAGGCAACAGGTGTGGCTCAGGCCCCACCCCTCTGGGCCCCTTTGAAGCTACCACGCCTCCCTCACCTCCACACAGGAGATGTGACACGGCGTAAAGAACTGCGGACATGCTCAGCCCCCGAGGGTTGAGTCTGTTGTTTCCCAGGCACTGTGGCCTGAGCAGTGCGCATGACGCCACAGTGAAGACACTTGGAGTGCTGCCAGACAAACTAAGGAAGTCTAGCAGCAGTTCACCTCCCAGCACAGTGAGGGCAGCTGTAGTGTGTGGGGCCGGGATGAGGGTAAAGAAAGGGCAGTAGCTTCCTCCGGGCAGTGTGCTGGATGGGAAGCAAGCGGTGAAGTGACGGTGGCTGATCAGGACGGGTGAAGGGGTGGGGGGGGTGAGCAGGGCATGTGGATTTCTCTGATGCGGAGTGATATAAGTGGGAATGACACTCAGCCTTCTACCCCTCCCAGGGGAGCAAAGATTCAAAGTACGCATGACACTAGTTGGTTTACCAGTGTTCCTTCCAAGGAGACATATATTTTTTAATAAATGATAGTTGCAATGAACCGTGGCTCAGAGACCTTCTTGAAGGAGGTGGGAAGGGAGGGCTGGGGTCACATCACTGGGGAAATGTCACAACTTTGGGGGCCAAAAGGCTCTCTGGTTAGTGAGCATCAGCTGACCGAGGCAGGTTCTAGACGCCTGTGGTCATAGCAGGTCCTTTACAAAAGTTATATCCTCTGTCTTCTACCCCAGACTCCAAAATGCTGCTTTAAATAGCACCAGCCGGGTCTGGAGAGGGGCCCCATGTCCTTGGTGGCGAAATGCTGACATTTCCCCCAAAGGTACACAAGATAGGAGATGCCTACTGCAGCAAAGAGGTTTGTTTGACAGAGCAAGGGCCCAGTTAGCAGCAGAGAACTGAGTCAGGACAATGGCGAGGAAAAGCTGGCCTGCCAGCTCCTGGTGATCCCAGAAAGCATTGACCACTCAGGAGAAAATGAGGGAGGGGCGGTGAGCCCAGAGGATACTGCAGTGTGCAGCGCAGGGTGGCAGTCACCCCTACAGCTTTCTGAAGAAAGGAGGTGTGCTCAGATCACATATTTATGACGTGGTTGATTTCATTGCAACTTGTGGGGAGAAGCATGAGGAAGTGCTGTCTCGCCCTGGCTGGTGTAGCTCAGTGGATTGATTGAGTGTGGGCCTGAGAACCAAAAGATCACAGTTCAATTCCCAGTCAGGGCACGTGCCTGGGTTGCAGTCCAGTTCCCAGCAGGGGACGCAAGAGAGGCAACCATACATTGATATTTCTCTCCCTCTCTCCTTCTCTTCCCCTCTAAAGAGAAATAAATAAAATATTTTTTAAAAGTGCTGTCTTAATTAAGGTCAAGAGCAGTAAGTGAATGAGGAATCCCAATGTGTATGGGCTGGACCACACCAAAGATGATGAGCCTTACTAGGTGTGGTGCTTTACGGTTGGCGGCACACTTCCTTTTACACATTCTGTTCGCTGGAAGGCAGCCTGTCCAAACGGAGGCTCCCAAGTGCTCTGTAGGCTCAAGGGAAATCCTGCAAAGGGGGCAAAGAGCTGGCCTGTAGCCACACTATGCTGAGATCCTTCACAGCTGCTGTCACTCCTAGAAGCGGTACAGCTGAAGGAAATCCAGGCCCCGGCAACTTGGAAACATCGAGGTGGGACACCCCCTGACCTAAGCTCTGCTGTGACTTCATGGCTGGAGCCCTGTCCCTGCCGGTGGTCAACACTGGGCTCTGTCCCAGTTCTGCTGCTGAGAACACAGCTCACAGCACCTTGGCTTCTTCACCTGTAAACGAACCTTAAGTTATTAATGAAACATTCATAGGGTGATGCTTGTGACTATATAAAATATTTGTTCAGGTGCAAATGACCAACTTTATCTTAGGATGAAAGTACTTTGAGAAATTAGCTAATAAAAGCTAAATCTTTAGCCCTGACTGGTGTGGCTCAGTTGGGTATTGTCCTGCAAGTCAAAAGCCCACCAGTTCAATTCCCAGTCATGACACATACCTGGCTGGGTTATGGGCCAGGTCGCCAGTAGGGGGCGCTTGAAAAACAACCACACATTGATGTTTCTCTCCCTTCCCCTCTCTCTAAAAATAAAGAAATAAAATCTTTTTATTAAAGAACCAAAGTCTTTTGTGTGGAAGTAGTGCTCCAAAATGAAGCTAATAATGGCTGCAGAAGAAAGTGGGAGTTGAGCTGCAGGCCTGGGAAGAGACTAGAACAAAAAAGGGTGGGGTTGCAAAGGGACCCAGGCTCCAGCACAGGTGTCAGTACTAAAGGCCAATGGAGCCTGTTCCAACAGGGATGATGAACCACCAGAAGGCCAAGATGTGAGAAAACCTTGTAGAAATTAGCTGAGTGGGTGTTCAGAGAGCCCTTATGTTTCTCAAGGCCCTTCAACAAAAGTGCTGGTTTACTCCCTGGCCACCATGCTCGGCTGGTTGGAGTGTTGTCCATCCCATACTCCAAAAGGTTGTGGGTTCAATTTCCGTTCAGAGCACACACCTGGGTTGCAGGTTTGTTTCCTGGTTGGAACGTGTACGGAAAGCAACTGATTAATGTTTCTCTGTGTCTGGAATCAATACATTAAAAAAATAATTTTTAAAAAAAGTTGCCCTGGCTGGTGTAGCTCAGTGGATTTAGCGCAGGCCTGCAAACCACGTGATCACGGTTCAATTCCCAGTCAGGGCACATGCCTGGGTTGCAAGCCGGTTCCCTGCAGGCCAGTTCCCAGCAGAGGATGCACGAAAGGCAACCATACATTGATGTTTCTCTCCCTCTCTCCTTCCCCCCTTCCCCTCTAAAGATAAATAAATAAAATCTAAAAAAAAAAAGTAATGCTGGGATTTGCAGTGCACCTAGGTGCCTGGTGAACCACCTGGGCCTTGGCAGTACTCAGTCAGCCTCAGTCTCCCCAAGTTTTATCCTCTGTCCTTGTTCCCACATAGGATTTTATGACCTCAATTCCATTAATCCTTTTTATCCATTCAGTCAGTTCCTTGTCTCCTCTCAGCTATTTTATTATCACCGCAAATAATGTTCTGAAGCTCAAAATCCAATTTCCTCAAAAGCCTCTCTCTTCCCTCATCACTTCCTAGAAATAGCTGATCGGGCTGCTGTGCACTCAGTCCCGCCCCAGAGAACAGAGTGTGGGTATGCGTGCCCTGTCAGAGAACAGAAGAGCTTCAGCCACGGAGCTAGGCCGAGTCAGCATGACGCCCACCGGTGCTTTCTGCATTCGGCCTGGTGAACTAGCAGCGTTGTCCTAGCCCTTCCATCTCCCTTGTCACTCTAACCAGAAGGATCCAGCACAATTCCAGGGACCGGAAAGGGGGTGGTTTGAGAAAAACGATTCACACCTGCTGGCTTGCAGTGAAGAGTCTGTACAAGAGGATATTCTTTTGACTGGCCTTCCTGTGCCACAATCATCCTGATTTCATCCTGATTAGCTGCTGATTAGCCGACAGAACTTGGCATCTAAAGCTCTGTCCCCCTCCCGTG